CATAATATTTTAGGTCGCTTGCTCCCTTATATCCTTTATTAGATTTGGAGGACTTCAAGGACCTACATTTTCAAAAAAATCAAGTTAGATCATGGATTTTTTAAAACTTGGATCATTAAAGTCCTGAAGAAAATTTGAAAATTTAAGTCCTTAATGTCCAGAAGACATTTATTTTAGAGTATAAAATAAAGTAACACCAAGGACTAAGGGTAGGTAACTTTCTTTTGTTTTATACAATGGAATATCTATATCTACATCTATATATATCTATATCACCTATAGGTATATAGGCTCTATGAGTGCCAACCCAGCACCAATTACCTCCCCTAGCATATAGAAGAGATCAGACAATTAGAAGTTAGGAGATGTGAGTTTTAACTCCATTTCTACCACTAATTAGATAATATAATTCAAAATATTCATGGACTTCTTTCAGCATTGGGTTCCTTTACTGTAACTTTAAGACATTGAAAGAAGTAATTGTATGTTAGTTGTTTCTACACTTCATGTGGACCACAGGGTCACCCTTGTCAGAGACAACTAGATCTTTTTTAAAAAGTCTATGCTAATATTATTTCTTCACTAGAAAGGATAGTGGGGTATTGACTCTCAGTTACAAATAGCTCTGCTTTCTTTGCCTGCATGCATGTCCTGTATCTCTAACCATTTTATAAACATTGAAACCAGCAATTATGATTTAGGTTTTGCCTAGATGGAAGCCATCTGTTATACACAATAAAAGCTGAGTAAATATGTGCTAATGGTTTTACCGTAAGTACTATAGGAGCATTCTCTTTACCCCATTTACCCCATTCCGTGTTATTTCCCTGACAGCAGAGAACTATAGCAGTCATGTCGCAAGTTTGATGATGGTGGAATGCACTTTTTGCTTTGAGAGTGTGTAAATTCCCCTCAGGGTATCATGTGTTTATTAATGTGTCACAAGTTGCTTGCTTCCTGTTAACTCTTCTCAGTAAATAGGACTATAGCGTTCGTTGGATACTGCTTTATTTTTAGCTTTTTAAATCGCCTTCTGATGAACAGAAACAGTAAACAAGTATTAAACATTGAAAGTAATTTGAAAATAGTGCCATCCTGGGGAGTGTGGAGTTCTAGACATTACCGGACAGTTGTAAATCAGCACTCATCTCACAGAGCTGAAGAATAAAAGTTGGGAAAATAAGAATACCTAAGTGATGCTCATCTGGAGCCACTTTCTGAAGAGTAGGGGACAGTTGTATTTAAAGAAGAGAAACAGGCCATGGGTGTGGTGGGGAGTCCATATTTACTTCAACTTTAGTCATTCTTCTTCAACCCACTCACAAATTTCAGATGAAAAGTATAAGGACTTATCTGGATTTTTTTTTTTTTTTTTTTTTTTTTGAGACAGAGTTTCGCTCTTGTTGCCCAGGCTGGAGTGCAATGGCGCGATCTCGGCTCACCGCAACCTCCGCCTCCTGGGTTCAGGCAATTCTCCTGCCTCAGCCTCCTGAGTAGCTGGGATTATAGGCATGCGCCACCATGCCCAGCTGATTTTTTGTATTTTTAGTAGAGACGGGGTTTCACCATGTTGACCAGGATGGTCTCGATCTCTTGACCTCGTGATGCACCCGCCTCAGCCTCCCAAAGTGCTGGGATTACAGGCGTGAGCCACCGCGCCCGGCTTATCTGGATTTTTAAGCTTCACACTAATAGACACCAAAGAACTGAAGGCCTCATCATGGTAGTATTTTCTAATTTACCTGTTAAACAAGCACTGTGTGACTGTACTGCAAAATTGGAAATATAAAGGAAGTGGGAATGAAGGATGCAGCGCTGATAATAAGAGCTGATTTACTCAGTGTTCACTGTAAAACAGGCAAGGCCCTAAGCTCTTTATGTGTTTTATCATTTGTTTCCCACAGCAGCCTGTGGAGTCTTTAGTATTATTTTCTCCTTATCCTAATCAGGATATGGAAGCCAAAGGAGTCAAGTAACTTTCCCTAGTTTTCAAAAATAGTGAGTGATTGAACTTGAATCTGAGCCCATGAGGTTGTGTTTTGGAGCCTTGCTCTTCACTTGACCCTAGCTCTCTCTTCCTCTCTGAATGTGAATGTCTGGTATTCTATACAAAGAGATGTAGTACAACAGACTTACAAAAGTAATCAATAGTTTGAGGAGAAAGGACACCTGAGACTCTTGTGTCTAAATTATTTACATGGAAATATCAAAATTATGATGCACAGATTTACTTCTTTAAAAAGCCTTTTTGTTTGTTTGTTTGTTTTAAATTCTGTGTTTCTTAAGACATATTTGAATGTGCCCTAAAAGAGTTAATAGGTTAATTTGTGTAATTATTTTTTTCTGAAAAAAAAAAAAAAAAAAAAATGTTGTTGTAATGAGCCTGGAAAGAGCATGTTCCAGTAAGTACTGGAGTAAAATTAATAAATAATGCATGAGCAGGATTGCTGGCAAACCCAAAGAGGGATATCTTTTTCACTTGGGTGTGAAGCTCAAGCTAAAATTTAACACACTCTTTTCTCTCAAAGCTGTTTCTTTTTCAGTGTTTTTTATGCTGAAAGATTGACTCTACCTTTCATACATGCAACTAAGAAAAATTCTTGATCATCTTGGATGTCTCTCTTTGCTTTGGTTCCTCACTGTTATATTGATTCAAAGTCTTAAATACATTTTGAACATGATCCCTCCTTTCTGTCTCAATGTGTATCGCTTTCACTGGGGCTGCCATTTGTTTCTGAATGAATGCAGTAGCTTTCTAATTTTTCTCACTGCATTTAGTCTTCCTTACAGTCAAACGCATTTTTCTCATTACAATCAGAAAAGCCTTTCCAAGATCCAAATTTCATCATTCCTCAACATAAACTTTTTGAAGTGGATTATGTGACTTTTAGCCTTGCATCTGTGGCTTATGTGACTTTCAGTCTTGCTTCTGTGCACTATCCAGTCTCAAGTCCATCATACTTACCTTATACTCCATCCATTCCACGTTGTTTGCAATTCCTTAAACATGGAATGTTGTTTTATGCCTTCCAGGCTTTGTGCAGACTGTTACCTCAGATAACCCTTCTTAAAATTGCCAAATTCTTATTAAATGTCTAAGATAGTTCAAGTATCATCATTTATGGAGCCTTCTTGTTTCTTTGACACCACTGTGGTAGTTCATATCTCTTTGTAGTAATTATATTGAATTTCACCTGTTTATTTGTCTTTCTCATTCCCTGGATTATGAGGAACTGAGGACAGGGAATATGCCTTATTCTAGCAAAATTTTTGAACACACACTCTCAGGACTTTTATCAAACTTCTGATTGACTTTCTTTAATAACTAATCATTTTCACCCATTTTTTAAGTATCTTAGATCTACTTGCAGGCTAGATATTATAGGAAGCTAGAGATGTCTACATTCAATAAAGAACCATCTAATTTTGTGGAAATATTATTTGTTGCCAGATACGAAGCCTAACAGCCTACCTAGGTATTTTCTGGACATTCTCACTGTGTCATATTATCATTAAACAAAAGCAAGAATCTAAACAAGGGAGCTGCTTAAATGTCAAAGCATTAGTTGAATAAGGAGGAGGACTTAGCAGCTGTTGTGCTTGTGCACAGATACAAAGAGGAACCAATATCACTGAGCACCTATGACAGGCCAAGCAGATTTCTATCCAGTATCCTTTTTAATGTTCAGACAAGTGCTGTCTCTCCACCCCACCTGAGACTCAAAGGAGCTAAATGAATTGCCCGGGGTTGTACAGATGGTAAGCAGCAAGGCTCAAATACAGGAATTTGATGGCCAAGTTTCTTTCTTATTCATGAATAAACAGTTGGTCACTTATTTACCAAATAGGAAGTTCTAAAGCAAACTTTGAATTCAATATTTTATTCTTCTTTTTCTTCCCATTAGCCAGCACCATGCTTGACACATTATCAGTGTCAATTGAATGTCCTGAGACTTAAAAAGGAAGTAGAAGTAGAGCAATTTACCCAAAAACTTCATTTGGTCCCAACCCTTCCAAAAGATCTCTGCACAGGATTTATAGCTTCATTTATTCCAAGTTATAAACATGATTTATGTACCAGCAAGAAAAAAAGAGATGCTTATTTAATGACCTGATTCTGTAGAATCTATCAGGATGGGGTTGTCCTTATGTAACACAGTAGAATGCTTCGCTCTGACAACCTGGACTCCAGGACCCAACTCAAATAGATATGGGTCAATAAAGACAGTAACTTTGCAGTACTTTTATCCAAGAATGTGATCTTGCCCAGACTTGGTCACTACTCTTCTTACCAAGGTAAACAATACTGTAAGAGTGTGCAGCATTATTCCTGTACCTCACGATGATTAATAGGCCAGTTACACTTTTCTACTTCTATTGAGTTTGCCAATTTTAACATAAGCCCAGGCTCGACTTTATTCTTGACCTACATCTTCCTTTTTTTAAAACTTTCTAGGTACAAAAATCTGTTGAACATTTTAAAACTGAACCTGAATCTAAAACAAAACTTTTTTTCTCTGGCAAATAAAAACAAATATACACGGCCAGGCACAATGGCTCACGCCTATAATCCCAGCACTTTGGGAGGCCAAGGTGGGTGGATCACAAGGTTAAGAGATTGAGACTAATCTGGCCCACATGATGAAACCCTGTCTCTACAAAAATTAGCTGGGTGTGGTGGTGCATGCCTGTAGTCCCAGCTACCTGGGAGGCTGAGGCAGTAGAATATCTTGAACTTGGGAGGCAGAGGTTGTAGTGAGCCGAGATCACACCACTGCACTCCAGCCTGGCAACAGAGCGAGACTCTTAGCTTCATAAGACCAAGTATTGTTTAGTTGGATAGCAAGACAGAACCCTGTGGAATAAGCCAAGACACCATACAATTAGTTAAACAATGAAACCTTTGCCTCTCTGTCTTTCAAGTGAATTAAATACACTGCCTTGGCAGCACTTGCTTTTGGTTCACACCAGGTCACCATATGTATTCTGCTTTGTTACAGAAACTCCACTTACTGTATGAAAGTATCCATCTCGCTGACAGTGGGTGAAAATGACACTGGACTCTGCTATAATTCCAAGATGAAGTATTTTGAAAAAGCTGAACTTAGCAAAAGCAAGGAAATTTCATGTCGTGACATAGAGGATTTTTTACTACCAACCAGAGAACCCGAAATCCTTTGGTATAAGGTATGGACTATGGGTGGTTCAATTTCCTATTAACAAATTAATTGTGTTTGTATTCTGGCACAAATTGGATAGAAAACTTAGATAGGCGTGATATAGTTTAGCTTTGCCTTTCTAAAATAATACGGCAAGTTGTACTGGTCATTATACGTTTTTTAACCAGTAGTTTTAGTAAATTCTAGTCAATATTTACATTGGTAGTCCACTGTAATAAGCTGTTGTGTTTATGTTTATGTTTATGTCTTATTTATATGGACGATTCTTTCAAGTCTATTATGGTCTGGGCTGATAATTTCAGGAACTAAATTACCTTGAACCTTCTTTTCAGGGTTCTTCATATTAGCGTTTCAAAATGTTCCCAAAGAAAAGGAAAAAGGATTAATTTTCCAGGATAAAATTGTATACTAGTTTTTCATGGAATGTTCTGTTTAATGGACATAATTTTGTCCATATTCTAATCTTTTTAATGTATAAATATAAACATTTTAAAGTAATAACATCTGAGGAAATTTTATGATACCTGAAATATAATATTAAAGTAACTTTCTTCAAAAACCAGAAGGAACTTTAGACACAAACAGAATAATCCAACCTCTGACTTCCCTCTCACCATCATTGATTATTTACTGATCTTTCAGATTTTAAAATAATTTTAAGCTTGTTTATACCATAAAAGACATTTTTCTTATTGAATGGACTCAAAAAATATAGACACTATGAACATTCTTCCAGAATATTTTATCCATAGTTTAAAGAATCCTTATGTAACATTTGCTTTGTCCAACTCACTGGAAGTAGGACTTTAGGAAACTAGGCCTCTTTGTACCTAGATCCACAAATGCCAGTATACAGAATGTGAGCCCTCATGGTAGACTGCTGATGAATTCAAAAACTGTTAGAAATAAAACAAGAAACAAACCTTTAACAATTTTTAAAAAAGATTTTGCCAAAATCAGCAATGCTCTTTCCTAAACAAGACTTACTTTTGATTCTTGATAATGTGAAATTTTGGATTCAGAACATCAAGGGAACTGTTGGAAGGTTTTTATACTTATCGCTTGCTTGATTTTCAATCCTAGACCATGTTAAACAGAACTCAAATATTAGTCCTGCTGGTTTCTGTCACTGTGGGGATGAATTTTCTTTTTCTCTTTTTTTAATTGTCGGAGTATTTCTCATCCTGAACCAGCCTAACATCTCAAACCCTGTGGTTTGCCTGACTTTCACAGGCAGATTCCGATTGCTTCAACAGGGAGTGGTATTAGGGGAGTTTGACCCAAAGTCTCCAAGTAGACTTTCTTTTCCTTAGTACTCATGTGTGACATCAGCTTCTGTATACGCAGTTTCTTTGTTTTTCACTAATAGGTTTATTTTATTTTTTTAATATATTTTATTGCATTTTAGGTTTTGGGGTACATGTCAAGAATATGCAGGATTGTTGCATAGGTACATACATGGCAATGTAGTTTGCTGCCTTCCTCCCCATCACCTATATCTGGCATTTCTCCCCATGTTACCCCTCTCCAACTCCCTACCCCCACTCTTCCTCCCCTAGCTCCCCCTGACAGACCTCAGTGTGTAATGCTCCCCTTCCTGTGTCCATGTGTTCTCATTGTTCAACACCTGCCTATGAGTGAGAACATTACAATAGCAAAGACTTGGAACTAACTCAAATGCCCATCGATGATAGACTGGACAGGGAAAATATGGCACATAAACACCATGGAATACTATGCAGCCATAAAAAATGATGAGTTCATGTCCTTTGTAGGGACAGGGATGAACCTGGAAACCATCATTCTCAGCAAACTGACACAAGAACAGAAAATCAAAATAATAAGTTTAAGAGTTGTGTGTCTTTTCGCACCTTTTGCAAAGAGCATCTCAAAATTCACTGAAAGATGAGAGCCTACACATACACAATTTAAAAAGTGGCTGATCCTTTAGTCATATTTCCAAAGTTGCCACAATAATTTTGACCTTAAGCTATACAGACTAGTGAAGTGGCGGGTGGGGATGCAGTATATGTGGTATTTAAAAGTCGTGACATTTCAGATTATTTTTCCATAGTCAAAGTTCGGCCCCTATAGTCTAAAAAACAGAGATTTAAGAGCTACTTCTATAGTAGAATACTATGAAATTATTAGTTTGGCTAAATATAGATTTCACACATTCAGTGGAAAATTTATTCAGTTACCACAAGTCATACAACTAATATACACAATGTATGTTTTGGTCTGAAATAACTGGAAAATTGCCCCCCAATTACACTAAGGCATTGAGCCACATAAAATAATGACCTGCAAAAATTTGATTTGGCAATACAATTTTTTAGAAATAATATTACCTCTGAAAAGTGTCAAATGTTTTAAAGCTATTTTATCCTCATTGCATTGATTTCAAATCTGGCTAGAGGAAATAGACTTTTGTTTTGGCGAAAACAGAAATCTTGTGAGCCAACATCATTATAATTCAAAGCTTAATTCAGAGATCATAATTTGGTAAGTCTATCAACAATGAAAACAGATATTTATGGAACTCTACAGACCTTGCATATAAATGTTGACTGTTTCTTTCATGGATTATAGCGTGCACACACTATGATCTAATTTTTACTAAATGCAAGACGAAAATGTTTCAAATATTGAAATAGAAGTAGTTTCTTTTGTATGGCAAATTTTCCACTTTCCAATAATACAGTATTTTATGTGACCAATTTCAATATGGTTGATTTCACAATCATCAAATATGAAGCATTTGTTTCCAAAATGATGTCAGGGATAGTCTTAGCATACATCTCTATTCTTATATGTAATAAATCATTACATATCTGGTATAGATATACTAATCTTAGAAGTTAATTAAGTTACTTTTTCTAAAAAAATCTTTAGGTTTTACTCATTGGTTCAAAAATGTATAATGACCAGTACAACTTGCCGTATTATTCAAGGAGGGCAAATTCTAGAAAGCAAGTTGATTTCCCAGAGATTTGGAGAAGAAATGAAATTCTTTAGCATTAGTTTCAAACTTTTTTGTCCCTTTAAAGTGTAATTTTAGAAGCTTTTGTTTTAGTTATTTAACATTGTTTTATATTTTTCTGTTACTATATATACTACCAAAATTCTATGTTCTTCATATAGGAATGCAGGACAAAAACATGGAGGCCAAGTATTGTATTCAAAAGAGACACCTTACTTATAAGAGAAGTCAGAGAAGATGACATTGGAAATTACACCTGTGAATTAAAATATGGAGGCTTTGTTGTGAGAAGAACTACTGAATTAACTGTTACAGGTAATCACTGTCTTCAGTATTTCACTTGCAAGTTATAAAACTACTATTTTAAGTTAGTTTTTATGCTATACATTAATTTTCTTAATCTATAAAGAAGTGTATAATCAATTGGTAAGTGGCTTCCTATAGGTGAAATTTATTCCTTCTTGCTTTTGAATCATCTTCCACTGAAGTACATTCAAAAGGCTAAACAGAATATGTTTAGGGAGTTATAGAAATATTAGCTTTTGAAAGTACTTGAAATAATGAGTTATGATTTCCAAAGATTGTGCTTATATTTTATAATGGTATCATCTTTGGAAACATTTTCTAGAGTGACTAAATAAAATATATGAAATCTACCTCTGTCTTCCTGTCTTGCTCCAAATTAGAAAAAACATTTTTCTCTTTTATTCATTTGCCACTCTATCCATCTGACATATGTGTTCCCTTGAACTTGAAAATAGCATAATTTCAGGTGCAATCATTGAATAATTATGTGAGATGTGATGCATAGAGTCATTTTCATATCTGGTTGCTAAGGTCAAAGGACATGCCGACAAGATTCAGAAGACTGCCTATAATTATGAATCTACAACTCTCTAGTCATGTAGGTTGGTGGAGTTACCACAGCCTTCAGAATATTCGTTTCCTCAAATATAAAATGATGATGATAAAACTTGCTGTTCTTATTTCATAGGCTTTTTGCAAGGATCAAATGAAGTAAAGTAATATGTATGACATAAATTTGCAAAATATAGAATTATATCCAAATGCTCATCATTTTTGTCACATTAAAAATTGCATTCATACATTTTTTCTTTATAGTGCATTTCTTACAAGGTGGTTTCATGAGAAAAGTGGGGATAATAGGAACAACATTCAGAAGTGAAAAATATTATTCTCATATTCTTATTGAGAGATTATTCTTGGTAACTTTTGTGTATGATCATATTTGTAAAATTTACATAGAAAAGCATAAAAAGGACATTAGCTGTTTTATATTAAACAGAGTTTTATTTGTACATTGGTTCACTTAAATTAGTTTTCCTGTATATGAAGTGTTTTGTGGTAGTCACCTACATCTTATAGTAATTCATTTCTTTTAAGGTATCTGGCTATACTTGGGTTTCGATATAATCAACTCTGAAATTTGTTTTTCATCTATTACTTAATTTTTTTTCCTTAATCTCTGCTGAAGTAGTTTTTGCAACCAGTAGTATTGAGACAAATGAATTTAAAAATATAAAGTAAAGCAATCTATTCTGAATAGAAAATAGAATGCATTTCTAGTCTTTGTTCTTCAGAGTGGAGAACTCATCTTTAGTAAGCACCTCATTCACTTTTCTAGAAATACTAGGGTTCTAAACCACTACCTAGCATAAGACAATTGGAGCACAATCTCATGGAAACCAAACACTGGACCCTGAATGGTAAAACAACTTATATAAGACTATTTCAGAGAACCAAAAATAGAACTCTTCATCTCCTAAATGCTTTCCAGGGTAGCTGTACTTTTCTAAACTTCATTTGTCCAAAAATACTTTCTTTTCTCTTATATAAAAAAGAAGAATAATTAAGTCTTGATATCCAAGTTAAAGTTGTAATGAAAGTTTTTATTCCACTGGTTATCATAAATACTTCTGCCATATGTAGCCTTATCTGAGACAGTGATTTGGGCAAATAAATTAAACAGTTTGACTGGATGTGAAATTTTGGGTGAATGGAGAACTACATGCCCTAGAATTAAGAACAGTATATACTAAAATGTATTTTAGGTATAAAAACAAGTCTATTGGGAAGATATATTTATGTATAACATTGTTTTAAATGGTATGACACTATAGCATATTTATTTTGTGGCCAAATTAAAGAGCATTTCTTAAACCCCAAATTATATCCCTCAGTTAAAGCAACAAAGATGGGCAGTATCTGAATTGATAATGAATCATTGTTTTTTATCTTGGTTTTCTGCACATTATTATTATATTGTACTTAATGAAAATATGAAAAACATTGATATGATTTGGTTTTAGTGGGATTGAAATCTGTTATAATGTCACTTTAAAAAATATAAAAGAAATCCCATATGTAAAAAGGAAATTTCTGGCTGAAGGAAGTAGCTAAATGCGCAGGCAATATCGTGAGCTTTTATGGGAAATCCTTACCATTTTGAAAGTGTATATTCTTAGCTAAGTGAAGTACTGTTTCAACAAAACATACCACAGTGAAAGGAATTATAAACCTGTCCAGCAGTTTTGGTATTTTAAACATCTTCTTTTTTTTTTTTTTTTTTTTTTGAGACAGTTTCACTCTTGTTGCCCAGGCTGGAGTGCAGTGGCACAATCTTGGCTCACTGCAACCTCTGCCTTCCCGGATTAAGAGATTCTCCTGCCTCAGCCTCCCTAGTAGCTAGGATTACAGGCCAGTGCCACCACACCTAGCTAATTTTTCTATTTTTAGTAGAGATGGGGTTTTACCATGTTGGCCAGACTGGTCTGGAACTCCTGAAACATTTTCCATTTTTTTTTAATTAAAGATGTTATAGCATCATCTCTAGCCTCTATAATTTATAAGCCTCACCCACATTGAAGCTCTTACTGTTCTCCAAATGTCCTCCCTCTGAACTCTTATTCATTGTTTTCTCCATCTGGAAGGTTTTTTCTTCTTCTTTGTCACATGCCTGATTCTCACCCTTTCTTCTAGGCACAGCTGAAATGTTAACTCCTTTTTGAGGCACATAGTCCATGTGTCCACAGGACTTTTAGCATCTCTATTGCAGCACTTGCCTCATTGCATCATAACTGTTTATTGACATTCCTGTATTTTTATAGGAATGTGAGCAACTTAGAGTCAAGGGCAATGTCTTTTATTTTTAAATAAGCATTTGATTTTAGAACAATTTTAGATTTACAGAAAAAAATATAAATAGTAGAAATTCCATATACCCCACATTCAGTTCCCCCTGTTATTCACATCTAATATTAATATGGTATATTTATTATAGTTAATGAAGTGATTTTGGCACATTTTTATTAAGTAAAATCTGTAGTTTATTTAGATTTCTATGCTTTTTGCCTGATGTCCTTTTTTCTGTTCCAGGATCCCATCCAGAGTAGCACATAACATTTAGTTGTCATTTCTCCTTAGGATCCTCTTGGTTGTGATTGTTTTGCATTTTTAAAATTTTTGATGATCTTTGCAATTTTAAGGAATATTTTGTCGAATGTCCTATGTTTGGAATTTGTCTGATATTTTTTCATGATTAGATTAAGGTTATATATCCTTAGAAGAAAAACCACAGAGGTAAAATCACAGCATGTCATATCAGCCTGACTTATCACTGTTGATATTGATCTTGCTCACCTGAGGTAGTGTTAGGTAGAGTTTTCCACTGTGAAGTTACTCCCATCCCCATTTTTATACTATACTTTTTGGAAGGAAGTTACTATATACAGTCCATGCTAAAGGAGTGAGAGGTTATGCTCCGCCTCTTTGAGAGCAGAATATCCACATAATTTGTTTGGTATTCCGCTACATGGGATATATGTCTATTCTCCCACATTTATTTACTTACTTAACTATTGCTCAATACCAGTTTGGACTTACAGTTTTTTACTACTTTGCTTTAGAATAAATTACCTTATTTTGTTGCTCAAATTATTACAGTTTTGGACATTAAGAGCTCTTTTAGTTGGCTCCTTCATCCCGATGACGTACTCATATTGTGTGCGTGTTTGTGTGTGTGTGTGTGTGTGTGTGTGTGTGTGTGTGTGTGTGTGTGTGT